AGAGAGAGAGAGAGAGAGAGAGAGAGAGAGAGAGAGAGAGAGAGAGAGAGAGAGAGAGAGAATTGGGGGAAGCAACAGGGATGTGGGTTGAATCTGAGGGCCAGAGGTATGGACGAGAAAGCAAAAGTAGGGCAAATGCGGGCAGCTGCGTTTCAATCACTTTTCATGCTAACGCGTTTGTGTGAGAGAGAGAGCAAGAGAGCGCACGCGCGTACGCGCGCACGCGGGTGTGTGTGACTACCCCAGTACCCTAGTCTACCGTTTTTGCTCCGGCATCGTTCGGGCTGTTGCGCAGGCCTGCTTGGTACACCCCAAAATACGTTCTTGACTAAAGTACATTTTTTTCTGCTCTTTTCTTGATTGCATCAAAACAGATCAACGCACACGGTGGTGTTGGTAGCTCTCGGCTGGCCGACTCCTGCGGCTAACGGTTAGCCGCTAACCCGCAGGCACCGCCCTGATGAGCTGCCGATCAAGCGGTGGATTGACAGAGAGAGAAAGATGTGAGCGCAGATCTCACACGCTAACGACTGCACGAATGAATGCCTACACAGCAAGACTGTCCTTAAGAGGCGCGGCTCACGGGTTAGACGGACGGCTCCGTCGCGTGCGGGTGCAGGTTAGCAGTTAGCACGTTTCGTTCGTGCCGTCTGGCAAAGCACATCATTACCGCTCAGAACTGACTGACTTCCAGACATTCCAGGGATATAATCACGTCCAATGAGTAATTCAATGATGACTAATTCAATAAGTGACTCACTATCGGTTCGACGTCGAATATGGAAATTACTGTACGTTGATCCGGCTGACAAAATCAGGTACATTCGAAAAGACGTCGACAGATTTTTCACTCGTCTGCTGAAGTAAGACACGCACCTTTCCTCCGCCTCGGCCATCGCCTTGTCCCGGAGCACCCGCGTGGACACGGCGAACTCCCTGTTGCTGGCCAGCGGGCTGAAGAAGAGCGTGCGGAAGCCGTCCTGCTTGGGCGCCGACAGCGCCAGGCCGAAGATGCCCTCCTCGAACCATTGGAAGTTGAGGCCCGCGACGTTGAAGTCACCTTGACGTACACAAATGACAAATGACAACATTATGGACCAAGACCACGCACTCTTTCTCCTTCACTGTGAGCCAATTTCTAATGAATGGGTAATAACGGCAGTGGGCCGCTACGGAAATTACACCTTTGGTTATCCCGACAATTAAACGCCGACCCGATGCAATTACCCGAGTAATTAAACAAAACGTAGAGACGGGGCCGGTTGGTTTTCTGCCGCTACATTTCCTACGGCACGTCATAAGCTGGTCCCTCCCCTGATGAGTCCTGAGTGACACCATAAATTCAAGCGTAGAAAGGAAAATGGGTGTGAGGCCGATCTAAACCACACGAATGTAGCGTAAGAAACATCTATATTGCATGTTCGTAACCGTGAGATTCAGAGAAGACGCCGGAGAACGCGGGTCTGCCTGCTCGATCTACCCAGGCGCAATATAGCCCCTTGGGTAAGCAAACCCGCTCGCACCTTTGTCTTCTCTGAATCACCCAGTACTTATTTAAATTCAATTGCAATAATGGGATCGTACATCCAATAGGTCCACTGATAAATAAAGTGTTCAGCTGACGTGCACATGCAAGCGCTCAACACTATGTTCCACACTTTTCAGTGTTTGAGTAGATATTTGAGTAGTATAAAGTGTTTAACGGTGAAGTTTAACACTTATAAGTGTTGAACACCAGGGTTCGCCACGAACCTTTAGACACTGTAAAGTGTTCAAATTTACTGTTAAACACTTCAAAGTTGTCAAATATCCAGTCAAACACTTAAAATTGTGCAACATAGTGTTGAGCACTTGCACGTGTACGCCAGTTGAACACTTCATTTATCAGTGTCCGTATTACTTAAATTCATTCGACAAAAATAACGGGAGCTCGCCGTCTGCGAGCCACAGAATAGGCCACCCTGCACTACACGCAAGCACTGCAGGCAAGATGTTGCCTACCTACCAGGCGCTATAAGAGTTTGCATATTCATAACGGCGGGGAAGGGGATGATTACCACCACAACCACGCTGTTCTTCGAAAGTCCACTTCCAATCTCAATCGGACCCCCGCACGGTCCACTACATCAACTCACCGAGTGACCCATCTTATTAAAACAATTTGAAGACAGCTTTTCAACTAGAGCTGACAATGCAGTCAACATTAATTTCGTTTTTGATCAAAAGGTTTAAAAGCTAATTTTAAAATTCAAAGAAATACATATTTCCAACCATAAATCCATGAACAGAAAAGGGTAAGTGTCCCCTAGAAGATTATAGATGCAAATTTGCATTTCGTTGTATGGTGCAGCCGCTCGTCAAAAAACACTGACGTGCGTACACAAATAAACAGATAGACGGACTCACGGCGGAGAGACCTGACTCCTCTGCGAATTATTGGTCTGAGCTTCACTGTTCAAAAAATGGTTGTAAACTTACAACGACAGTGAACAAAGTGTCAAAAAACAACATTAATCAAAATCTCGGAAACAAAGTTTCCAACCGAGAGCAGTCACGTTTGTTTTGCTTCATAAAGAGAGTTGTATTGTAACAATTCGGGTGTCCTGTTTTGGAACGAAATGTGTAGCCAACAAAATTGACTTACTCTTTTCTTGTACATGTGCAGCAAATGTATTTGCTGGTATACCAGTAACTAGTTTTTGTTGTCAGTATAGGCCGAATATCACAAGTTTCGAGAGGTTTCAAATGAAGAAAACATTTCTGTTATAAAACATGGAGTGTCATCCCGCAGTGTGTCGTCAGATTACAGTTATTTTTAACAGTGAACTCGCTAAGCGAAAATTCGAGCACAGGAAGAAGTGAAGGCCTACCGTCTCTGGGCCACACACATATATGCACCCTACTTAGTTGCAGAGTCGCCGCGCCCGTTACGTACCCGTAATAATAATTAAGCACTATTATAATTAAGCAATATAATTGTCTGGTCGATGCACCGCGGACTAACGAGCGAGCTGGTGAGGGTTGGTGTGTGTGTGTGAGGCCGTGTGTGCGAGTGCATTTATGAGCGTGTTCGTGTGTGAAAGTGTGTGTGTGTCTCGGCTAATTGGACGCCACTGTCAACACAGAGCTCCAAAACTGAAAACGACAGTGCATGCATAGAGTCTCCCTCGCTCACTCACTCACTCACTCATACTCACTCACTCACTGTTTGCTCCAGAATGATGTACAACAATAAGACTCTCTAGTCTTCTGTACTTAAAACCGATAAATATCAAATATTAAATATCACTCACCCTTGAGCGGGTCGGGCAGGAAGAACCCGTGCTGCGCGCGCCACGATGTGTTCAGCTCCCACGAGTACACGATGAGCCCGTAGCCCAGCTCGTCCGAGGCGTACAGGAAGGTGTCGTCGCACGTCCGCCCGACGTCCACGGCGATGTTGGCGATGAAGGTGTTCTGGTTGGTGTCCTGGGTGCGCAGCGTGTATCGGCGCAGCAGCGTGTCCGTGGTCAGGTCGAACACGAGGATGGAGTAGGGGCACGGGTTCTGCGTCGTGTTGCCGATGCCCACCGTGCCCGTATCCAGGACCCACAGGCGGTCGCACGCGTCGGCCTGAAACACACGATAGAATGTAAATTATTAAAAAAAAAAAAAAACAGCTTAAACAAATACTTCAGGCTTAGAAAACTCCTATACTTTTTGCTCCCAATACAAAATCGGATGAAAGCACAAACTAGGTTATTTTTCGATGCCGGTTCAGATTTTGTTCAGTGCAATAACTTTCCATTAATCTAATTTATCATAACCAATCAGCGCGCCGCGCGCCCGCGCAGTCCCATATCGCCTGACCTGCGTCACATCCGCATGGAGGGGTGACGGATCGACGCTGCGCCATACAGCTTTCGCTCGCATGTAACCCCCCTTCCACCCCGAGAGCCTCGCCCGGACAGCTGATGAAATGTCGCGAGCGCCGCGCCTCGCCCCGGCAGCCGTTTATCATCCGACGCCTTTAATTGAATGCACCATGGCGCGGGCGGCACCACAAAGCGGCAGGCGAGGCCCCGCCTCGAGCTCTGCTCCTTCTCTCTTTCACTTAGTATGTTTCCTTTCCTCCCTTTTGCTTTATTTTGCGCCAGACAGTCGATACTCGACGCCTCCGCGCTGCTGCTCCTCCGCCCGGCAGGTGGGCGCCCACTGCAGCAGACAAGAAGCCCGCGCTTCTCGTTGCCGTCTGTCTGCCGCTCGCTCCCCCAGAAACGAAACCGTCTCTTTGAAGAAACCAACGCAAACAGACCATTTTCACCAGCAATTCCTCTTTTTTTATTCCTTCTTTTGCCTCGCCTCACCCTCCGACTTAGAGCCTCGTGCTGTTCACAGAGGCAGCAGACGGAGTCGTTTGTGTCAGGATATTATGAGCAGCCGCCTTTTAACACATTGAAGAGTCCACAATGCGGTTGCGCTCTGCTTGCTTTTCCAACGCAACACATTCCGCCAACAATAATCAAACCAACGCTTGAAGCTTGTTTGGTTTTACAGCGGTGTCGAGCAGAGTGCGAACCATGAGTAAATCCGCGTTTTATCTCCCTAGCATGCCCGCCCTTCCATCCCGGGGGCTCAAATGGCACAATGCATACATTACAAGTTTAAAACGTCATCAGTGACATCGTGTTGGCTCTTTGCATGTCGATCAACGCCTGTTATATACGCGTGACATCGCATCGCTCATATCGTCGATATCTCGTCTGATACACACACACACGCGACGAGGACCCGATAACGACTCGCGTACCTTGATGCGGTACGTGGTGGTGATGCCCGTGCCGCAGTTGCCTTCGATGTTGGTCTTCCAGTCGGGGTACGGCACGAGCCGGGGAGAGTCCCCGTAGCTCTGCGAGAGCGAGATGTAGTTGAGCGTCGACGGGATTCCTGTGATGACATAAAAAAACGCGTGCAAATTTTTCATATCACATCACATTTTTCAATTTACCACATCAGTTTGCTAGAAGGTGATAACTGCGCGCCTGTCGCTGGAACAGCAGCAAAATAAACATGTGAATGTTTTCACGGACAGGGTGGATGGGAGAACATTAATAAATGATGGTCTGTCAAGAGAGAACGTTGAAATCGGCGAACATGTAAATTGTATCATTTCTTTCCACGACTTTTAGGAATCATTATTTTTACACACTTTTATGCATTCATCAGTACGAAATCATGCAGACGAAACGTCGCGGTTTAGCCCACTCACTCACATGTACTGATTTATCTGTAGTAGCTTTTAAAGGTTTTTACGCATCAGGAATACTGACAAACGGTAATTTTACAATGTCTCGTTTTTTTAGGGAAAAGGGAAAACTTAAAAGGTCTCCCATGTTTCGGAAGAGTCCTCCGATCTCGCCTCAGATTTTGAAGAATCTTCTCAATAAATGAGGAAAATCCCACATTTCTTGAGGAGACCTACTCGAAATCTGAGGAGTTTTCGCCAAACCAGGGGAGTTCCTCAAAGTTTTCCGTTTTCCCTCAAAAAATGAGACATTCTTTTTACTGTGCAAGGGGTGAAAAAAAAAATTTTAACAGGAGGAGAGTGTCCGTTTGCACGAAAACATACTAGTAGAGGACCATGTCCGACAACACTCTTAGAAAAATGGAAGCAATAACGATGTTAGGAATTTCTTTTTCTGACAACGCTGAGGATACAGCAACAGAGGACAGTCCCAGCTAGCAGGAGTGGCGTGAATTAGTAACGGCTCGGAGGCTGGGAGGGGGGAGCGTCTGACCGACACACGTCCACAGTATAAAATGAGCATGGGGGCGTCGCCGGCGCCAACCTGAGTGCAGCGCAGCAAAGCCTCTTCCGGACCTGTTCAGGACATCTCCAGGACATCTGCAGGAGCAGCTGACAGAGACGTGGGGATGGAGAAAGGAGGAGAGAGTCCAAGGAAGGAGATCCAATATTTACATCATTCTGGTTTCTGCGGCTAGGAAATAGGGTAACTGTATATGTATAAAAGCGCTGGGCAGGGGTCAGCACACTTCAAAGCTCTGCATGCTCCAGAGCAAACCCACAAGGGGGCCTTGAAAAACAATAAGAGAAATCTTTTTGAACACAAAAGCAACACATTTTGCAAGAAATTTTCCTCTTTGGGTCGAAGAACTCACCGGCGCGCCACCGGGGCACGGTGACGAACAGCTTGTCACCCCAGACCTCGATGCCGACGGGGAGGTTGTTCTCTGGGATAAAGCCTCCCGTCTGGAGCGCCACTTGTCGACTGCGCTCGTCCGGGAAGGCGAAGTCGAGCGAGCGCCAGCTGAAGCGCTCCTGTAGCTTTGAGACCTGCACCGCCTGTTGTGAATACCCAGAAAAGCCTGAATTGATTTTTCGTGGACTTGGTTTTGTCAAGGACAAGGTAAAAGTTAGTCAATATGATTAAAAGTGAAGTGATATTTGAAAATATAACAGCAAAAGGACACCGTGAATTACGGTATTGGGAACTTAATCGTAAAATTACATCTAACATTTAACATTTTAAAATTACATTTGAGAGTTAAGCTAGTAAAATTAAAGTAAAACATTTAACACTGCAAGTTGATCAAGATTTCTCAAAGGAGATACTTGTATATTAACGTTTTTAAAAAAACACTTTTTTGACCGTATACGGCTGTGAACAATTTCACTTTCAAATTAAAATTGTGAAAAATATTGAAATTTTACGAAGACGTATTTCCCAATGCATGGGTAACATTTGCGTTTACCGCATATTAAGTCAAAGGATTTCTCACCGCGTTGCCGGCGGCGAGCTGACGAGGGCGGGCGGGCAGGGCGGGTGGCGGCGAGGGCGCGACCGGCCCAGGTACGACGGGCAGGGCGCCGAAGAAGGGCTGCACGGAGGCAGGCTGCGCACTCAGCGGCAGGTCCGCGGGGTGCCTGGTGTCGGGCGGCGGCTGCTGGGCGTGCAGCAGGTGCAGCAGCTGGCCGCGCGCCGTGTATACGGACACGGGCTCGGCGGCGGCGGCGGCCGCTACCAGTAGCAGCAGCATCGCAGGGGGCATTGTGGTCAGGTCGGCCTACGGAGAGAAATAGCCTTCTTAGCAGACGCAGGTGTAGTATTATATGTTCTTGGTGGCATTGCACGTGAGAAACGGCGCCGATGGCGTGGAGGGGGACTCCACCGGAATGTATCGTGCCAACACCCGGCGCTCGACAACAAGCTCATCAGCGTGCATCTGAGTGCCAGGACGGTCGCCAAACCAGGCGTGATAAAGGGGAAAGGCGGGGGTTGGCGCCCCCTCCACTCCTCCCCCCTCGCCGTGGTCTCTAGAGGGCCGCCTGAAAGGTAGGCAATTTGCGCCACAAACACTCTGAATGGCAACCGACAGCGCATAACTCCCTGGCAGGCGGACTTTAATCCGCGCCTGTGCTGAACCGACTCAGCGGCGGACCCCTGACAATGTTGTGCGCTTGCCGTGCTGTTGGTGAAGGCGCCGAGGAACGAGAAGTGTGGGTTTCGTTCAAACATTTACGCATCGCTTTCATTTCTCGCTCGGATTCCTTGGAGTAATAGCTCGGGTTCGGGCAATGAATTGCAGCGTAGCAGGACACCTTTGTCACATCAAACAAAACGCCCAATCACGAGTGTTTGCGAGTAGGGAGAGAGGGGGGGGGGGGGAGATCAGCTCAGGAACGGGCGAGGGAAACAGATGAAAGTTTGAGAATAAATGGCATGCAGGCAAGACCCAACTACGGTAATCAGATACTGCCTCAGCTTGTCACTCCAGTCTCTGCTTAAAAAAAACAAAAAAACAAAAAAAAAAAACACTTTCAGTTTTCAACCTGCAGTTGCACACTTATAAGTGTCGGACACTTGCGCACTTAGAGTGTAACCTACCGTTCCACATACCCAAGCGCACACGCATCTTATTTCTACAAATTAAATTTCTCGTTTTGACATTTTTGCCCGCTGCGCGTTGTGGTGGCGCATGAGGGGTGCACAGACCGCGGCGGACAGACGCCCGAGCCGTCGAGCCCCGGGCGATCAAACCCAAACAATATCATCACCCTGATTAAATAATTTCACCCCCGGCCGATTCCCGACCAGCAGCCCTGGGCGTATGCGCCGCGTGCTCCAGTAATCAAAGAGACCGCTCCACTCCACATGTCGAAAACCGCACACTGCCCGCCCGCCCCCTTATGCCCACCTACCGACCAGAGCCCCCTAAATCCAACCGAATCTCCTCCCCGCTCTCCGCACGCGCACTGACGCGGGCTGGTCTGGTGCTGCCCTGGGATGTGCCCCGTGTGCGTCGATGCGCACTCGGCCAGCCCCGACCGGGTTTGCAAGCGGTTTGTTGGGTCCAATTGGGCTGGCTGCAGTAATTGGAGTGAGTCCCGGCGCTGCGGCCACCGGTATAGAGGTGCACTGCGCAATGCACAGCAAAGTGTGTGAAAAGTTTTAACTGCACTACCAATGGTGCTGCTGTTTCAAATGTGCAATTCAACTTGTGCCGGCCACATTCCTAAAATAACGGCAAGGTTTTTGTGTAGGATACGCTGCCCTGTGCCCGACAGTTCTTCTTTATAAATGTGTCAACTGCCTGTGGCACTTGTAATTGTAAAAGGTTAACACCTACTTGGTAAATGTACGCCAAACCACGTCTCGCGTAACAGGCTTCGCGATGTCTCACAAAACAATGTTATAAGACGCCGCGATGCATCTGAATTTTCGTACGTAGGCCAATGTGCTCTTGTGCATCATCTTTTTTCGGGAAATCCTAAAATTATCCCCAGTTTGTATGCGGGGATGCCAGTTTGTATTTGGGCTGAATACAAATTGGTGATAATTCTAGGATTACCCGGAAAAAAATGTTTTTCGAGAAATTGGACTTACCCCCAATACCCAAAATATCAAACTGAGCACGAACTTTTATGGGCAATCGTTAAGTATACATTCAACGATGAAAATCCAGTTTGAAAATTTTGAACCGATTCGGGAATTTACACTTGTATGAGTTCCCTTGTAAGTACAACTTATTGTACTTCCAGGCAGGATTTTATAGGGAGGTGGTGTATTAGATTCAAAGGGGGAAGTTTAGGGGGGGAAGCCATACCAGGTAGTATTTGGTACAGGTAGCGCTCAGGAGGCATGGGGCTCGCTAATCCCTCTCCGCGCTGACCAATCATTGGGTGACAAGGAAAGTGGTTTCCCCAAGGGGAGGGTTTGTGGCCACCTGACTCTATTATACCTTACGGAAGGGGGTGCGACCCCCTGCCCCTACCCCCGGTCTAGCAAGCTCTTAGGAAGTCAAAGATAGGTAGGCCATTAGACCTGTGAAAACACCTTAAAATAGGCAACCCAGTAAGTCGCCCCCTCCACCGGACCTAAAACCACGTCTGTGTAAATCCGCACAGAAAGATTTGTATCTGATGAAGATGGGCGCGCGCGAGGACACATCTAACCCAGGGGCAAAAATTGTCACGCCCCACTTAGTGACACCAAGGCAAATACATTATTTATCAGTTTTTTCTCGTATACCCCGGGAGTGCTGCAGTTGTTACTGCAGATCAGATGCAGAACAAAAGAGTTCTGCTGCAGATCAAAAGAGCTTGTTGTTAAAGCTGCAGAACTTTCGCTTCGCATTTTAAACTGGCGATTTACTACACACTAAGATTGGAAGGGTATCCTTTCCGGTCCTTCTCCATTTAGTGCGTAGTCAGTGCGATGACGTGTTCCAAACATACTCGAATAGGCTTACCCGGCCGCTTCTCTCGCACTCGGAAAATTCATGACAACCAACTTTGCCTCCCACCCCCAACCCATCATTTTGTCTTTCGCTATCGTGCCCGCGGGATGAGGCATGGCAGCGTGTTGCTCGATAGTAATTGACAGTCTAACAGATTTGGGACGATCGGCTTTGCGCACGCCGCCGTAGTGCGCTTCACCCGGACTGGGCGATGAAAAAGCAGTGGAAAACACTCCACGGCTCCACGGCATAATGAGACCAACAAGTGAGTCATCGACCGGTCCAACGCCCCCGGCAAGTGCCGCTGCCACAGCTCGAGCGTCAATATTACGCTTATTTACGTCACTCATTTGCAAGGAGGCAGTCAAACGGAGAAATTTTACTGACTGCTCTCTCAATTTCCCTGACTGTCCCTGACTTTCCCTGACCATTTTCTAATTCCTGACATTTCCTGACTTTCACGATCTGTAACAACCCTGGACCCACAAGTAGACCAAGAACGCGTCCAAAAATCTCGGGGGATGAATTATCCAATGGGAGCTGCTCCCATGGGATCCCATCCATGGGAATTTCGGCCCGAGATCGGCTTTCTTCTGCAAATCGGTAGCATTATGTGGCAACCGGGCAATTATATTCACCAACCCAACGGTGTAGTCTAGAGAAAGGAGGGGGTAGGGGGGCAGTGTCGCCAGAGCGATGGAAGTTTCCACCAGTGCCGCTGACCTTTCACGTCCGAATGTTACATTATTGCACTAGTATATGTCCGTAAAGTCCAGGTGCCAGGCGTTCTGCCTGACATGGTGTGGCCTCCTTTCCTCATACTTGTCCGATCGCAGCCGCGAAAGAAAAGCAATCACATTAGTTCACCACAATTTAAATCAGGGGCAGAAAGTGAAGGCGGGGATAGTGGTGATAGTATGTAAGTGAGCATGGTTCTGGTTTTGGACTCATCGAATATATTTCAACTATAGTGCGATAACGTGTTCCAGACATACTCGAATAGGCGTACCCGGCCGCTTCTCTCGCACTCGCACCCATATATGGGTTGAATTACGGTTGATATATAATTTTCTTCTTCACGTTAGTTTTAGCGAGTACATTTCAGCCTATAGAGTAAAAGTAACTTAAAAGTGATCTGTCATTGTCATGGTCCTTATCATCCCTTACCTTGACTATTTTTTACTCTTTCAAAATGTGCTTGAGGGAGAGTTTCTGATCCTCAAATTTTGGCCAGTGATGTGGCTGTTTTGTTGTGAATAATTGTTTCCAGTTCTTTTTTGTAAATTGTTTGTAATATTATTACTTATTCATTGTAACATCACTTTCTTGTAAGTTGATCACACATTTTCCATCTTGCATAATGTTTGTTTTTCGAAAAGAGCATGCAATGTAATTTACGTTTGTGCTTACATTGTCTGATATGTGCTTTGATTTTTTATTTGATTTGATACGATGATTTGCATTGCTTAATTATATTCGAAAAAAAAAGGCATTAAACAATTTCTTTTTCATTTATCTCGTATTCCCACACTTAAAATTTGGCTGGCGTCTTTAGACGCCTAAAGACGTCTAAAGACGTTATAACAAGTTTAGGCGTTCAAAGATACCAAAATTTTACGTTGTCTTAGGGAACATTAAAACTTGGCGTCAAAAGAGGCCTTTTAGTTTTCAGCGAATACACGCATTAATCGACCAGGAAGAAATTCGCCTTTCGGTGAAATGTCACCGTGGACTGGCCGTTAGTGCCACGAGGAACTTCAGACCCAGAGGTGAAATAGCTGAATTCTCAGTCCACAGATGTTTTAATTGTGCTAAGGCAGCACTATTAAAATGATACATTTCAAAAAGACTTGTGTATTGCCCTCGTATTGTGTTGTTTGTAATGACGACCGCCCGATAAGGTTCCCATACAGAAACCTAGTTCATGTGTCGGCTGTCCAGACTACTACACGGGACCCCAGAAGTGTCAGCTCGGTGCTACCTGAGGTGTGCGGTGCGGTCTGCTCTGCGGCGCGGGCATCGGCAGCCCGCTGTCCAACCCCTGTCCGTGCTGTCCACCAGCCTAACCCCAAATAACACTTTTCATACCGTCCCAACCGCAGCCCGCCCGCTCTCCATATAAATCCTTCGCTCGACACTTCTGTCCGGGCCTGACGGCACGTGGGGCCCGGGCCGCAGCGCCCAACCAGTTGGGACAGAGTTTCTGACGCGTGGCTGCTTTTCCTTACCGCAAAGTTCCCCTCCGCGCTGCCGAAAGGTATAAATCAGCGTCATATCGTGAGGCGGCAGGCGGGCGGGCAGCGGCACTGGCGAATGAGGTCTGTCTG